TCCAGCTAGCTCTTTATCCAAAAATAAACGGATGCAATGAATTATTTGCTTTGGATATAATTTAGGGATTCCTTTTGGTAGAAATTAAAGAAGGTTTAGTATTAAAATCTTAATGGTTTGACAAAAAGATTTTTTTATGCTTGTCAGAGGATGATCAGCCACATATAGTTTATTAAGTAGCAAGAGCAGGAAGAGCCATACTACATTGTGGAGCATAAAGTGCTGACTCTGAGATAGGTGCATACAACGACGCATTTCTGCACAAGAACAGCTGGAAGATCAGAGTGTTTCAGAGTTGAGCTCGCAGTAGTGGACGATTCCGGCTTATTTTCTCCCCTGCCGTTGCTGCCATGATCCATCTGTAGTCATGCAGAATGTGCACACGCCAGGTGGGCGGCGTGAGCAAACAGGACGCAGCTGCACGGCTGACAATGATGCATTTTAAACATCTGACAGACCACCTGCTAACGTTTTTATTTAGTCTCGCCTCCTCGACGAAAACTCACACCCATGAGTCGTCAAGTTTGGGTCATCAAAGATTCATGTTTAACTTCTCAGTTTTTGTTAACATCATAAAAAAAAGAAGCGTCAAAGAAATGATTCTGTCATCATTGACGATAACAACACTGGTTTCCATCCAATATTTTGACCCAATGTTTATATCTCTCTAAAAGCTGTTTAACTGTTTTCTTGATAAATAAACTTAAATCAAGAAGTACTCACAGCAGAGAGCGTCACAGAAGTCATAGAACTATGACCAATAATAGGCTGTCTACAAGATCTAAAAGCAAACCCTATTAGAGGCTTACCTTCATCAGCATGAAATGAGTTAAACCTTCATTTAATTCTCAACCATTCCTTAATCGTCAGATTTCAGGGGCAAGTTCTGCTGATCTAAGTTCTCTTTAGTAAGCTTTATTTTTTAGTATGGAAACAAAAGCTTTTATTAGGAATCTTGGTTTTCTTCAGAATCGGGTTTTTTATTAATGTCATTTGCAGCTTAATGGGTGAGATTCCTATGCTGAGTTGGGAAAAAGACTAAATGAGTATGACATGCTTCACAATAGATCAGAAAATGCTATTTGTTTCCTAATGAGTGAAGAGCTAATTGTTTTTGTGTGGAACAAACAAAATGAATAGCAGAGAGATGAAGTCATTCTAACTGCAAATGATGAAGCGATTTAGTTGTGGGAAGCAAACAATGGCACCAGCTGCAGCTTCATTGCAGCACAGCTGAGTCCAGCTGAGTATTTAAACTGTCAAAAAAATTCTCTTTTATTTTTTCCCCCCACTTCCCGACACATGTTAGCTGCAGATAATCTGAGTTTAGGAGGCTTTTTCCTCTGTTTTGACAATAGCGCTGAATAATTGCGGCGAAACATCCCCAATGAGTAACATTTCTCTGCTAAACCACCCTGCTAGGTCCAGATCTAGACCAATCCAAGGGAGCAGTCTGTAAGCCTCATCTTGTTTTATTTTGTATAGAGGTGGATTGATTTCACTTTACAGTATTTTTTATTTTTTTTTAGCTTGGCTCTTCCTAGGAGGGAAATGCATGAATCGAGGAGGTAAAATATCAAATCTGTGCTGTTTCCCTCACCAAACAGGTGTGCAATGGACTGCACCATTGGAGAATTGAAGGGGGGCGTTTAGTCTCATTAATGAATTAACATTTTTTGTCTTGTATTTTTTCATTAGCTGTTCATTTAAAACAACTTTTCTTTTTTTCTTATTATTTTGCAGCTGTATATCCTTTTAAAATAGTTTCTTCCAATTTGGTTCCACGTCCATATAAGAAACATGTCTGCCATTGTTATTGTTTTTCTATCAACCAGTTTGGGTCCCACCTCCAAGACTGCTTGACCTCCTGACGAACATGTGACAAATCAAGATTGTTGACGAATTATACTGTAGATTCATCCAACATTTTAGAAGAAAAAGCTGCTAAGAAGCTACATCTTAATCTCTGAAAGAGAGATCAAGTTCCTCTTTTTCTTGACCTATTATTCTCGTCTATATTTAGGTCAGACCGTCTGATTTTTTTCGTTTCTGCTGTCTTAATTACGATGATCGGCAGTGATCTGATGTATTTAAATTAACTTACTCCCAAACAGCTATTCTGTAAAAAGAGACTTCATGCAATTAATACTCTGGGTAGAAATTCTAAGCTTTTTTGAAATATTTATCTCCTATGATCTCTATTTTTATAAAGCTGATTGGCTTTTTAGGTTGAGGAATAGAAAAACAACCAACAGTTTATTTCTATAAATGGACCTACCATTTTCACACCATCACACTTAAATACAGCCTCCAGATACGTCTGTCAGACACACTGTCCTCCCCTTTGTTTGCCATTTTCTTGAATTAAACTATGTATTTTAAGCTGTTTTTTAGAAAATCTAAATACATCCAAGGGTTTGTTTACTGATGTTAGCAGTTTAACTAATCTATGGGTTAAATTGTTGGAAGTCTTTGCAATTAAACACTCAAAAAATGTGTTTGTGTTTTGGCCCGCTGCCTTTAGCCGCTTCCTACCATAATAGCTGCAGAAAGCTGTATACTATCTTGTGGTTTTGGTAGGGAGCTAAATGGACACAAATGGAGTTGCATCACAGAGCAACACAGAGAAAAACATGCCTGTTTTCACTGTCATTAAAAGGGGTTGATCCTGAAATGCTACATTTTGGGCGTGCATCTGTTGGGACATGCAAAGCCTTTTCCAAAATGCCTCGTCGGGATTCAAACCCGGGATTTTTTTGTGATTCTTTGTGTGAGACAACAGAGACAACCATAAATATAATCAAAATATTCTCCTCTGCTACAAAGTACCTCTTACTGTGCCAGCGGTTAAGTGATAATTCTAATAATTCCCATTTTATCCTAAGAAAAAAGTATTTAACTATACAGTTAAATATACCAGATCGATTGTTTTCACTATGCACTTTCAGTCTGCACTTTATCTTTCTTTGCAAAGGAATGAGAACAAGACGACCATAGGCTTTAAAGCTTGAAGTTCTGCCCTGGTCTGACTAGACAGAGATTTTCTCTGTGGCGGCTGGTCAATAGAGGGTGCTAGGGTGCCACCCCATCCACCTAATGATCTTGATTAAGGCATAAAAAAGAAACAAATAAAAGTTAAATTATAAATTTAGAATATTTCGAAATACATATTTTTAGATGTGAAAGATAAATATTTAATCTTTAATGACAAGTAAAGCTGTTTGTTCGTCGTCGGTTTGGTGACGTATTTCCGCCCTAGGGCACAAAAATCTGTCGTTAAAGTTGTATTTTTGCAGTAGCTCCTCTGCAATGCAAACAATAGGCGAGTTCTCGGCACAGGAGACCTGCACCCCGAGCTGACTGCAACTGTCGTCACATTCATAGTGCGTCTAATTGACTGGCCAAGTCGCGGTGAGGTCCCTTAAAGCAAAATCACCAAGAGAAGCTGGAGGTGAAATCGTTTGGACCTGATCAGCCGAACAGCTAAAATTAATTAGCAGTTTAAAGTCAGATGAGACGGTAGTCTCTGTCTTTTTCCAGGATCTGGTTTAGCTACAAGGCTTGGCTAACTGCCTGCAGTGAGGCTAAAGCTTTTTTCTGCTTTCCTGCCTCCTTTTTAAATGTCAGGATTTGAGCCGATGTGGATAAAAACACCTTTGACTGATTTAAAGCCCTTTTTAGAAAAGGCAAAGCATGAACAATCGGGGATTCACTGCCACTGGTTTTTCTCACTATCTTAAAATCTTAAAAAGGTCTTCAGAAAACGGTTTAGTCCAAAAGAATAAAGTTGCAGAAAAGTAAAATGTTATGAATAAAACCTTGAGAGTCTGGCTGGTTATGGGAGCAATTATTTTCTCTTCCAAAGAATTCATAAAGGTAAATCAACAACTGTGAAAGTGAAAATGTTTATCAAGCAAGTAAATGCAAAAATTTGTTCTCATAAATCAATATTTATGGGGGGAATTAATAGGAAATAGAGTTTTCTGACCACAACTATGTAGAGGGTTTGTCTGTACTGGTGAATTTTCACTCACCTCAGGATGCCGAATGCTTAAAGGGGCGCCAACAGGAAATACACTCTGATTTTAGCCTGGTTTGCCAGAATGACTGTCACTCAGCTGTTCTTCACCCTGAGCTATCAGAGTTCATCAAAGCAGCTCAGGTGTCTTGATAAAATCAAAGTAAAACTTATTAAGTCTGACTATAATTTTTGTTCCCAATTCATCAAGTTTAAATGTGATTATAGGGGAGTTACTCAGATAATATGATTTTACTTTGTAATTATGACAATTCCTTACTAACTTCCAGGCAACATATTTATGTTTCTATTTGAGATGGAAAGCATAGCATTATAAAAAACGAAATGATAGATTGATAGATGGATAGATAGATTGATCCCGGTCTATATCCCTCCGTTCTGCTTCTCACCAGAGATCAGTCTGAAAATAGTCTATATTTCAGTTATTGCATGTTCCACTTTTGGACAGTCATCAATACTTTTGAGTGAGATGGGGACTCATGGTGAGACAAAATGCTTAAAGGGATAGACAAGTCAAAAAAGGTTGGCAACCACTGAACGAGGCAAATTATTTTTTATTTAATCGGATATAGTCAGATTAATCTTCCCACCAAAGTTAAATTATTAGATATATATGTAGAATAAACACGTTTACAGCTGTGTAATTATCTAGGAATAGAGAGCTCAATAAAACACAAATAATCATAAGCATGTGTATTCCTAGTTGTGCATGTGAAAATGAAAACTGCTCCATGCCAATTTATTGAAAGCAGTCAGTCACAGTTGATACTAATAGGCAGCTGCTGCAAACGCGCAGGTTGTGGCTCTGACTAATTACTGTGACCTTGCAGTGATCCACAAACAGCCATCTGTAATCTGTGGCAATAAAAGTTTAGATTGAAACATGTTTCAAAGCTGCTCTAAAAGGAAAAGCCTGAGGTAAGGTTTCACCTAAACCTTCCACTCTGTGCTCTTTGTTCAGGGTGATCAATGCTGGGAAGAGTGCGCTGAATGAAGACCAGGCCTGCTGCGAGTTGGTTGTGGCTAGAAGGAGACCGATGAGCTACTGTCCGCCCTCTACGCCCAGCAAGACGCCGACGGCCAAAAGACGCAACTCGCTGCCAAACGGCGAGGCCCTCGGGCTCCGGGTGGAGAACATGTTGGGAGAGGTAAGAACATGGAATCAGATTATATGAGCATTTAGAAGAACATAATGAGTTAATGCTGTCCTGTGAGCGGAATACACATTAAACGATACATGAAACCAACTTAGTAAAGACGTCTGCTTGATGTTCTTACAACTCCTGAAATGACATTTGATCTTAAGACTTTCTTTTTGGAAAGCAGAGCAGTTTGCCAACGTTCTTGGCTAACAGTAGGATTAGGGGTGAGTATTGGCATGGGTGTTGCGATACGAAACGTGTCATGATATGGTGATGTGCTGTACAGTTAAAAGGCTCCACAGCGCCATCTACCAGAGTGGTGGGGCAGAGCTAGTCCATTTTCCCCTCATTGATTTAGGTAAAATCGACATTAGGAACTGAAAGATCGAAATAATATCGGGCAGCTGCATATCATGATATAATGCCAAATAATTTATTTCCCACACCCCTAATTAGTATTTTTTCTCTTAAAGGTATTGTGGAGGATTTTCTCGAATTTCTTAAAAGACCTGCCCTCTCCACTTAAAAAAAAATGCGCGTGCGACAGCGTGCACTAGCCCATTTCTTCTCATGCACGCTCTGTTTAAAAGTTGCTTTTCTCAGAGCTCATACAAGCTTACTGTGTCCAAATGTTCACCCTAACCCCTAAATCTCTCAATCACTATATAGAGCGGGGACTACAGTGTATATAGTGAACACAGTCAACTTACCGTTCGGAAACTTCCCCGTTGGTCCACTGCGCCATCTTTGTTATTAGACGCCACTGTCGGGTATCAGCAGCCTGTGGCGACAGCGGGCCGCTGTAACAGCAAATCCCATAATGCTTTGCGAGGAGAAATTTCCACATTCCGGGTTTATATCTGCCTCTTCTTAGTAGGGATGTAAATAATAATCGATATCGATGCATCGATCCAACAGCCGACGATCCGATGCATCGATACGTCCGCAAGAGTATCGATTCATGTTTTTTTTTGTTTTTTTTTCCTCCGGTCTATTTTTATCCACTTGCTCCTGGGCGTAATTCTGACTTACGTGCTGCGGTGGCGCTAAAGCTATTTTGCCCTCCTACCTCGCTTCCTGGTTATACTACTGCAGCAGTGTGTAGCAGTGAGCTTGACACAGACATTTTTTATTTATGCCCAATATTGAAGCGTGGTCTGCGGTATACGCTGTGGGTCTAGCTACGACCGAGGCGGTGAGGAAGTGGAGGCGAGTTTGTCCGACAACGGAGGGATATGAGGGCGAAAAAGAGCGGGGATCCAGGTGGAAAAAGGGTCCCAGCGTTCGCGCGCACCTCGCTCCTCTAGTTGGTCCATCTTCATGAGTTGATTTCCGCAAAAAAAAAAACGAACCAATTAACCATATCGTGGTGTATTCGTGAGTATCGAAAATAATCGAATTGTTGGGTCAGGAAATCGATACTGAATCGAATCGCCATGATGAGTGTGATTTCCAACCCTACTTCTTAGGCCTTTCTTTTCTTCTCATTCACTTTGTAGACACTTTTTCCCTCGGCCATTTTAAAAGAACCGCGGTAAAAAAGGTGAGCTTCAACGACTGTCTGAAAAAAACTGAAAGTGCACATACACAGAAAAAGATGGCTAACGTGACGAGCACGTGACAGCCTTACGTTAACATATCACCAGAATGATTGACAATTAGGAGGACCACTTATTTAGACAATCCACCTGGAAATAAATGATCATCCTCTATAAGATTTTATGCAATTTTAGGTAATCCAGCTCATAAATGATATAATTGCGGTTCAAGCACATGTAGAAAAAGTAGTTGTTCTGCTAAAGTAACTCTATGCTCATTTTTGAACTGGCAGTTTCAGTTGTTTTCTGTAAGGATATCACTCCCCAATGCGCAGAGCTGGTCATTTATATGTGATGAAAATATGATTATTGAAGATAAGCTGAGCAAAATGCATCTTTAATTGATACACTGTGCTAACCTGTGTAGAATCAAAGGAAGAAAGCTCTGCAAAGGATGATGTACTGATGATTTATTTTTTTTGTATTATTTGTAAAGTGACCTTGAGTGTCAAGAAAGGCGCTGTTAAATAAAATGTATTATTATTATTATTATGTCCAAAGTGGAAAAGAAATACACAAAAAGCATTGCACAGCTCCTAAGTAAAGGTTTGACCTCAGCGGCTCCCATGCTGTGCGGGAAACCATGAGTCATAAGATGAGATAAGATCTTATCTCTGTTGATCAGTTTCTATTTTCTAAGGGAAAAAAAAAACCTGGAGACTTGGAACAGAATAATTTTGTATCACTATGTTTACCACCTATATGCAGAGGCAGAAATACCTATAAAACACAATAAATGCATGGACATCTACAAGTTGGAATCTTCTTGCATAAAGGCGTGAAATGTAAAGATGTTCAAGTGGTGTAAAAATCTATTGCAATTATTGTGAATTTCCATGCTATTTTTTCTTTTTTATCTACAGGAGAATGAGGGACTTGTTTTCCATTACTGGGCCTTGTTCGACGGTCACGCCGGCTCAGGCGCAGCGGTTGTTGCCTCCCGCCTGCTGCAGCACCACATCGCCTGCCAGCTACAGGCCGTCATAGAGATCCTACGTAACTTCCATTCGCTGCCCCCCACTGTGCTGGGAGAAGAGCCTGACAGCAGCCCATACCTGCAAGGAAACCCCCCTGGACCCCACCGTTCCCTGACACGGGCTGCCTCGCTGCGGGGGGCCGCCGGCGCCCCCACCTCGCCATGCAACACCCCGCCTCCGCCACGCTTCTACATGGAGAAGAAGATTCAACACGAGAGCCTGGTGATTGGAGCCATAGAGAACGCCTTCAAGGAGATGGTGGGTACTTCAAGATCATCAGGCAGCTTAAAGAGTTTGTTGTTTCCTCTAAGAATGTTTTTGCTAAATAAATCTGGTTTCAGGTTTTTTATTTTAAATATTTCTCTGCAGAAATAGTATCTGGGAACCCTCAATGGCTATATAATTTCTATATAATTGAAGGGAATCCATATTTTTAGTTTTGACCCTTCATTCCTTCTTTAATTCTCTCAGTCACGCTTGTTATCAACCACAACATCCCTGTTTTCTTACTCCTCTGGGTTGGTCAGCCTGTTGGTTTTCTCTCATACCTCCCACCTGGAAGCATCCTGATTTTCCAGATGTTTTACTGTAAACATAAGACATGTCTGTCCTGCTTTTACTTCCCAGAAATTACTCCATTGCAGCTGCACATGTTGCAAGAGTTTGCCAAAATCCACATGCTGCCTTTGTTGTGGAAGCTCTGCACTGGGAGCAGCCTGGGTTTCTATTTTTGGCCTATTTTAGTGTTTTTTTGATTTACTGTCCGCAGATATGTGCATCGGTTGATTCATTAGCGCTGTAGCTCTGAAACTGGAAGGTACACCCCCTAGGGGTGATATAGTGTAACTGCAGAGGACTGGTAGAATTTAAGTAAATGACCTAGTCTGTTGCACAGTAAAATAAACAGATGAACCTTATATAATTGCACTGTAAAGATGGTAGTTTTAGCGATTTAAAATAGATTGTAGTTTATTTTAATTACAACATTTAATTAAATGCTGTTGACTTTTCTTTATTCAACTTGCGAAAATGTTGCATAGAGACTGTTTAGATTGCAAACAAAAGGGGAAGTTTAGCAACCAATGCATTAGTGGATTTAGCAGCCATGCCTCAGTTTGCTATCAGTTGTTAATCTTGAAAGGTTCAGTTTTAGGTTTATCCAAGAGGAGAAAGGGTATGTCTAAGACCACCTCCACTGTTGACAGAGGGTTTTTCCAGGGGTTTCTTTAACCCCTCTCTCAAACCATCTTCTTGCTTGGCCACAATATAGACGTTGTTGTCCTTAAATGAGGGTCCTTCAGGTGTGGGTGAACAGCAGCGTCCTGTCCTGAGGAGTTTGCCTTCCTGTGTTGAGCCATAACGCCTGTGTAGTTGTTGCTTAAGGACGGATTATACTTCTGCAACTGCACACATCAAATGTCGCTTGGGTCTGGTCGCGAACAGGTTTTGCTGGTATGCTTTTGCAACCTCAGTCTGGAATTTCTGGGGACGCACAGCAGTTGCCCGCCAAAGCGCAATGGGGGGAGCCTATTCGAGAACTTGCGAGAACTTTGCTGGATGGTCAGGAGAATGTCTTCGGCAGCGCCGGCGGGAGTGTTTATCTTCCAAAACAACATGTCTGAGGCATTGTACATTTGGTTGTACTTCCGAACGTCCTCGATCAACCTTTCATCGTGGTTATCCATTGTTGTTATTACTCCTCGGTTTTTAAAAATGGCGCTCCCCAGAACGGAATTGAGAAGGATGACCACACAGACAGCCGGAAAGGCATACCAAGGACCAATCACAGCTGCTTTTTGTCTGCGCACTTCAGCTTGAGGTCTGCGCGGGTTTGCGACCGTCCGACGCGTAGTCAGGATTATTTTGAGGTGCGCAACGATGGTGGGGTCAACAGGGGGACGTGGTCACGCACAGAGACATACTTTACGGTTGCAGAGGCTATGCGTCAGAAGTAGAAATTGGCCTTTAGTCTCCAATGTAAAGGTCTGTGCACTCTTCACTACCCTGAACACCGTAAACCACATTGTCGGTCTTGTTTCTGGATGTCTTATCTTTTGAGTGAACCAGTTTTTGTCTCAAGGTGTTCATGGGTTTGAAGAAACTTCACGTCCAGTTGCCTAAACTGAGTCTTTCAAGCTTGATGACTGAGAATCTTCACATATATCCATTGTTTGTTTGTTTTTTGCTTTTGAGTTTTATCACTGTGTCATTTTTATCACATAAATGAAAGGGGGAAAAACAACATCAGCTCTAAAGAATGGACCCAAAAATATCAGCATCATATATTGGGGAATGATTTGACAAATGTCAAAATAATGTGCATCAGCCTCAGAGAACCCGTATTGGTCGATCTCTAATGCTGATGCTATGGACGTAGAAAAGTAGGAGCAGAGTTGGCTTCATTGCCTTGTAGAAATGACACAGCAGTGTATCCACCATATTGGGAGTGGTAATGTTGGCATGTATACCAGCAGAAATCGACCAATACACGCATTTTAAAATCGATACTGGATATTTTGACACCAGTCTGACTGATTCCCTACATGTACTGCTGAATTTTGGGGTCCATTTTTGAAGATTATATTGCTTTTTCTTTCTAATTTGCATAATAAAAAAGACACAGTGAAAACAAATGTTACGTAAGTCTCAGTTTGAACAAAAAGAAATGTATTAACAAATTAAACAGCATATTAGCCATGGATGGTGAAAGCGGCAACACAAACAGTTCACTGGGTTGAGAATAATAGTTTTGATGAATAATAAATATGTTTTTTTATCTGTTTTTTTATAGGGAATGTTGAGTTGCAGAAGTTTGCTGCACCTGCCTTTGTTTGGCGTTTTCTCTATGAAGTGGCATTGCCTTTCAGCTGTGTTCCCACTAGATGGCAGTAGAAGGCTTTCTAAGTTCAACCCTGCCCTAGATCAGTTTACTTTTTGTTTTTTAGCAACAAAAACACCAAGAGGGTCCAATAAGAAGCAAAGGATGAAAATGTGGAGAAACACTGTGCATTGTTTAGTACAGTGGTGGATTAGGGATGCTGTGGGCCTGTTTGTAAAACCAAAATATTTGCCAAAAAAAATCGGAGTTAAACAATAACATTTATAAACAACAGCCACAGTTTTCCCTCAGTGGAGTTTTGCAGCCTAATGCAATAGTCGGATTTTTTCCTTTTTTCCAGGACGCTCAGATAGAGAAGGAAAAACAATCGTACAACATCAGCGGCGGATGCACAGCTCTCACCGTGGTTTACCTGCTTGGAAAGCTGTATGTTGGGAATGCAGGTGACAGCAGGTGTGTTTAAGGTTTATCTTTTAAATTAAAACCTGGTGCTGGTGGTGAGCTGTGTGCTTCAGACATGTGTGACATGTTATCCTCTGCTCTGCAGGGCCATCATCATTAGAAACAACGAGATCATTTCTATGTCGACAGAGTTCACACCAGAATCGGAACGACAGCGACTCCAGTTCCTGGTAGGAGAGTTTCACTTTGTTCCATCTGAAAAGAAAAACACACAGAGGGTATTTGGAAATATGCGGTACATTCAGTTCAATTCAGTTTATTTATATAGCACCAATTCGCAACACATGTCATCTCAAGGCACTTTACAGTTCACCAAATCATGCATTCAAATTGGAAAACCAGTTGATTGCATCGACTCATTGACTCAAAGGCAATCCCTCAAACTAATCATGCTTGTAGCGACAGTGGAGAGGAAAAACTCCCTTTTAACTGGAAGAAACCTCCAGCAGAACCAGGCTCAGCTCACTAAATAAAGATCATCCAAATTTTGTCTTGTCACAATCTCTTCTCTTTTCTTTAGTTTTTTTGTAAATGGAAAACATGAATTTAAATAACTATAAAGTAAATTCTGTATGTTTTTTTGCTGCGATTTCCCAGTGCTTATTTCCCCTGTCCCACCTGAGGAATAGCTTCCCCACAGCATGATCTTCCACCTCTGTGTTTAACTATAGAGACACTTCTGTGTGAAGTCTTAAGTCCTCTGTTTGGCTTCAATGGTCTCTAAAAGACCAAGTTTGGAGTTTAAACTAATATTTATGTTCTTTTCCACTTTACAGGTATGCACTGCTTTGTCCTAGTCAATCTAATAAATTCTTTTTGGTTAAACTTCAAGAGGTTAAAATGCTTTAGACTAGCACTGTAACAAAGAAGCATAGAAACAGTCATGCAGTTGCTGATCTACAGTACTCTGCATGACTGACCCGAAGGATACTTCCCTGTCCTGCAGGGTTACATGCAGCCGCAGCTTTTGGGAAACGAGTTCACGCACCTGGAATTCCCCCGCAGAGTTCAGAGGAAGGAGGTGGGCAAGAAGATGCTCTACAGGGACTTTACCATGAACGGATGGTATGTTTCCTACGTCACAGAGCAATTTCATGGGGCTGATCTGACACAAGATTGCATTTTCGAGACGGTACATTTGCATCAACTTCCAACATAAGCCTGCTGGGTTTTGTAGTCAGTGTTTGGAAAAGACAGGTTATGATATTTGCTTGTGCTGTTCTACAGCAGAGAGCAGCAGGTTTCCACAGAGGTGCAGCTTCAGATTAGTTCTGTTCAGTTATGTAGACAGACGGAGCTGCGCTCTGCAGCAGTGCGGTAATCCGTTTTACTTTCAGTGACACATATTACCCGCTCCCTGAGTTCACAATGAGATCTTCCCTGAGGAAACCATACATTTCCAACAAGATTTGTTATCGTCAACCTCAGTATTATGCTGCAGATTATTCTAAAGGCAATTCAGGGTGTGATGAGAGGCTGGATGTGGAGGGAGTGGGAGGATTGTGGATGATTCAGACATTCATGCGTAACAGCAGAGAAAAAAAATAGAGACAGACAGAATCTTCTGCTTTGGGGTCAGAAAAAGTTCACAGCTTGCTTCTCAGAAAGACGAATGACCAGACGAAAGCACGGTCTGACAGAAGTGGTCAACTCTGGGTAGATGTGAAGCCGTTTGAAGTTCAGAATGTTTTCTGCTGACCTTTGATGCCAAATCTAGTCTGGTCTGCTGAAGCCCTTCAGCATCTGCTATGAGGTTTTTGAAGCAGACTTCAAAGCATTTATGCGTATTTTTGGATTTGCTGTTCCAAATTGCACACTGAAAAATGGTTGTTTTCTCAGTTTTCTTCTTTGCTGAGATTCCCTTAGTCTCTGCTCTGGGTAAATACGTTTTTTGGCAAACTGAATCAAGACCAAAATTAATGTTACTTTTATGATTTGATTTGATTATTCTTAAGAAACCTATCTTTAATTGTTGTTATACTGTCTAAAAAAGAGCAAGCTCAAAATTACATTTAATTACAATGAACTCACCACTGATTTTTTTAAGTTATTTTATTTTCTTAAACAATATTTTTGTTTTCTAGGGCTATAACAGCGTTTAGGAATTTATTTTCAGCCTAATACATTGGTTAATTTTAGAGATGCACCAATCAATTAGCTGGATCGGATATTGATTAATTGATTTTTTGCAGATTATTTGCTAAATAATTTAAAGTACGTTTATATATGTTAATTTTTTGCCTTTTTTAACAATGTTAAACTAAAAGGCAATGCATTTATATGGCCCATTCATTCATTGAATTGAATAGGTATCGGATATCGGTCGATATGTTTAACCCAATTATCGGTAGGCCTATCAAATTGAATCAGAAAAAAAATATCAGTGTATTGTGGTATTTATGTGTTTTTTTTTGTCTTCAATTTATTGTCTTTATAATTAATGTCACAAAATATAATTTTAAAAGCTTAAATCCCTACTTTTTTCTGCTAGAGACTGATTTGTTTTCCTTCCATATGAAGAAGGGAATTTATTTTCTTATGTTTTTATGAGGTTAATATATAATTCATAAACTGGGCTAGCCAAGGCTGAGCTTTAATATTCTCACTTTATATTTTTTGTGGTTAAATGAACCTTGAATTGGAAATAAAGTATATGCTTAGCCTTCAGAGTTAGCCATAACTTTTAAGTTGAAATAAAAAGCTATGAATGCTAACTTTTCATTAAGGCTTTTATGCTAGAATTTCCACTTCCGACAAACTATTTTGTTTTGTGTTTGCGTTTTTTAGTCAGTGCAATAAATAAGCTGCTCTCCTATTTTAAAGCATTAGCTTGCTAGCTGCTAGCTTTAGCTTTGACTGTTGCTAACTCTTAACTTCTTCTCCTTCCTATTTAAAATACCCTGTGCTATGGCAGAAATGTTTCAATGTTATTAATATTGTTTGTCTTTGTTAGCTTTGTTTAAGCTGCCTGAAAACAAGAAAATGTTTCTCTTTTGTTGATAAACGCTTCATTAAATTCTTCAGCCAGCTGCTGCTAGTTGTTGTGCAGTTTGTTTTTGACATATTGCTAAAATGTAAAAAGTTTTTTTCTTGGTTTTAACTTTTGTTGCGAGTAAAAATATTTTCTTTCTCTTTAAGGGCATACAAGACTGTTGACGACGAAGATCTCAAGTTTCCTCTCATCTACGGGGAAGGAAAAAAGGTTAATGGGTCATTTTGTCTTGGATGTGTTTTTGTGTCAAGGTGAAATGGACATATGTAAATTAATAATAACTGTCAGGTGGGCAACACAATTATCAAGTTTTTCCCCTTTTTTAAAGGAATATGGAGGTCCAAAATACATAAATGTACCATGTAATAGATAGATGAAACATTTGCTTATTTGTCTAAAACATTCAAATATTGAATATTCCATTCACTTGTAAAATGGAACAATTAAATGTCTTATTTAATTGATAAACCTGATGATTATTTCATTTTTAAAAAGTTGTATTTAGAATAGAATACAGTAGAATTTAATAGAAAATGTCTTTATTGTCCCACAATGGGGGAATTCTGTTGTATACAGCAGCAAAAAGATCATAGAAAAGAATTTTCACACAAATGTGGACCTTAGAAGAGTATATAAAAATAACATAATAGTGAAGAGTTAAAAAAAATAAACAAAATACCATACTGTACAGTGTTTTTACAAAATAAATGCTCTGTATATGGATAGTAAATAATCAATAAACAGCTGTGGATATTTTACAGTAATGGATATGTGAAAAATAGCAGCAACATCAATAAATTGTCAATAATTATGCCTATAAAATCAAATTAGAAGTGTATTGAAGGTTGTAGTAATATGACAAAATGTGTAAAATAGGTGCTGAAACTCCTCCAGAGCAGATTTGATCACTATTTAAGGGGGGAAAAAAAGATTTAATGATGTCCTGATAGCATTTGATCTTTTCAAACAAGTTTCTTAATAAAAGGTTTCATTGCAGGATGTTTTAAATATTGAATATTTTAGACATATTAATAATTAAAATAACTATATGTTTTTATTGAATTGATGATCTTCATAAGTCGAATATTTAAAGTGCTGAATCACAAGTCAAGATTTATTTATTTTCTTATACTTGATTCATATTCAACAGTCTTCTTACCCAAGGCTGTGTTTCAGGAAATTTGGGTGTAGTTAGAAGTCTTATAAAGGCTGGTCATTTTAGCAAATTTGTTCTGGTTTAGTAACGTCAGCGGGTCATAGGGACTTTGATCACAGTTCACTTTATCAAGCATGTATTTAAACACCTAATGTCAATAATGGGTGTGTTTTCCAGGCTCGGGTTCTGGCAACAATCGGTGTGACCCGGGGGCTCGGTGACCACGACCTCAAAGTTCATGACTCCAACATTTACATCAAGCCGTTCCTGTCCTGTATTCCTGAGGTAAAAACAAACTTTCCTTTTAACCTGCTTTCAGAGAACAGGTTTGCCAATAAAAGTGTTCCATCTCCTCCATGCTGATTCATGCTGCTGATGGACAATTGTAAACAGCCTTTTATTCTGCTAAAGTAAAACCTTTGAGACTAACTTCTTATAAGTGAATCTTATAATATTCTTTTTTATATTGGACCAATTTTCAGAAAGTATGAAAAAGAGGCATTTTGGGGTCATTAATTTATCCCTCAGTGTATAAGATGGATCATCTCCTCCCTCTGAATGCACCACCCTCCCCATGCTGCTTCTCCACTGCTGGAGAACTAGAATTCACCCGTCTGAACTGACTGGTACCGGAATGAAAACTCTTTCATCTCCCAACTTAGTTCTTCTTATAGCATCTCCCCCCCCACCCCCCGAGTTTCCTGGTTTGATCTTTAATTCATTATCACCAGGGTTCACGGTGGGTTCATGTTAAATCTTCTCCCTACACCTGCGTCTCAGTCCTCTGCTCTTCGGCGGTGTTGGGATGCTCGCCAGATAAAAGCTTTGAATTACTTTGATTTCTTTTTTACCTCCAATTCCTTTTATACCTCACCCATTTGTATTCCATCCTTTCCGGAGTCCTTCCTTCTTT